AGTAGTGGATCGCATTCAGCCAGGTGACCAGCGTCGCGAGATGGACGTCGACGAGGTGATTGCCCTGCGCGAGTCGCGTCGCCACGAGATAGACTTCTGGGCCGCCGTTGGTGCCGCCACCGTCAGGGTGGTCGCCGTTGTTCCGGCCGCGTTGAGGTTGATGATGAGAGCCAGTGCGCGACAGCGAAGACGGGTCCCTGCGATTGTCGCGTGGACGACGTTTCTCCTGATCTTGGCCATTGCCGGTACCAGGATGGAGAGGAGGGGCACAGAGCAGGTCTGTGGTGGTGGTGGTGACGACGCTCGTAGCCAAGGTGGGTCGCGGAGCACGAGACGAGATGGACACAGACCGGACGGAGCACTTGGACTTAGAGCGCACGCGGTGGCCGTCGGCAAGGTGGAAGCTCCAGATCGCAAACTCGTCAGGGGTGAGAAGGACGGCGAAGAAGCGGAGATCGGACAGGGACTTGCCCTGGCTCTCGATGTCGTGGGCGCGCAAGGCGGCGCGGTTGTCGAGGGCGCGGGCGGCGCCAGCCGTGAGATCGGGGTGCCGGGCGGCGAGGCTGAAGTCGGCGTGCAGGGCGATAATGAGGTAGGGGTAGAGCATCCTGAGGTCCGGATGCATTGTGGCGTAGGGCATGGCGCACCGGAGTTGCGTTGGGATGTCGTCAGTATGGAGCCAGTATGTAACGACCGGGCTAATGGGATTTGGCGGCGTATGGTCGCTGGTGTGCTGCAGAGTGTAGGGGCCCTTGTCAAAGGCCTGAGAGAAGGTAGGTGAGCGACAGGATATGAGACGCCAATATTGGTGCTGGTCCTTGTGGCCAGGGCTTCTGCTTGGTGGAGATGACGTGACGGGGTGGCTGCGAAGCAGATACTGCAGAATCAGCATCTCGAGCGTCTCGTTTCCGGCCTTTTGCACAATATTGCTCGCCATCTTGTTCTGGAACTCGTTGGCGTCAGTCTCTGAGATGTAGACGCGGCCCAACACACGGATGAGGCTGTCATTGGCGTTATTGTTGACGCCAACGCCAACGCCCACACCAACGCCAACGCCCTCGCCCTTATCCTCACTGCCCCGGCTCTCCGCTGAAGCTACACTAAGAGGAGTAATGTGGGAATTCCTTCTCCGGTTCTGGTAAGCCGGCAGGTTTCGAACACTTCAAAAATAGAGTCTTGACTGTGCTGGCCCAGTGCAGTACGAGTTCTCAAAGATCTAATATGCGGATGTAGTAGAAGCTCGCATAAAACATTACGAGTTCTCACATTTGAGTTCTTTCTCAGCCAGCGCAACATCAGTGACCTGAATGGCGATTTCTGAGCTCGGTCCTTAGGAGTACTGATAGCTTCCTCAAGCAATTTGTCAAGAATCGCCA